GCTGCAGCCAGCGCGCCTCCCCGAGCTCCCTCTCCTCCTCCCTTCGCAGTTCGGGTTCTTGTTTCTCGACAGGCTTCTGTTTCCGCTGCTCCCTCCCTCCAATCTTTCTATATTCTTGCTCTTTTTGCTTAGCCTAGAAGGTTTCCACCTCCACCCTGCAGCACGCAGCACCGGAGAGAGGAAAGGTCCTGCAGCAGCAGCCGTGAACGCTCAGGCAAACGGGGCTTAGAACTCCAGGGCGGTCATCTGGGGAGGTGACAGCTCCGCAGGGACACGGACAATGCACCAATTCCGTGCACTGAAACCATTCCCTGCTCCCGCAGGAGGTGCAGAGGCAGGAAGGGCTCACAGGGCTCGCGTCACTCAACGCTCCTCAGCTCAGCGAGCCGGAGCCCCAGAGGGAAGAGCTGCCCATGCACTGCGGGAGGAGAGCGCGCGCTCGAGCTCCGTTCACACCAAAACATCACCCAGAAAGGGAGCAGCCCAACGCTCGCGCAAAAGCCACCCCCGCTGCCACAGGTACAGGACGACAGTGCAAGAAGTCAACGCACAGCCGCCTGCCAGGCCCCCTGTTCGAAACGCCCAGACAAAACTGCCATTTGCAAGACAACAGTATAAAAATCATAGTCCTGCTTCCTCCTGATCATTTATCTTTTACAGCAATATCATATTCCAAGCTGCTAGCTGGCATTCACTTACCTGGAGGTAGTCACCAAAACACACTTCATGGCCTATCTCATCTAGCAATAAACCTAAACACAGGTGTTCCTTCTTTCTAGCAAAACCCACAATATCCAATGCTACAGTTCCTACAGCTAAAAACATATATATTTCACTTATTTACTTATATATAGGGCAACTGTTTTTTTTAAATAAACTTAGCAAAGAAAAGCAAATTTCCCATTTTTTTCAAGTATACACTTATTTGAAACACATAAACACAATTTGATATGAGCAGCAAACATTTAAAGAGGCCACCATCAGATGCAGCACAGCGAAAATCCAATATCTTTAATTCACTGTACAGCTCATTCTCTTTTATGACCTCGACTACTGAAAAGTAATCAAGTTCAGAAATCCCTAACACAGAAAACAACTGTCCTTCATTCCTTGCAATTCTGGTATCAAAATGAAGGTACTCCAGAATGCAGGTACTTTGAGCTTACGAAGTCCTGCATAAAGAGCAAGAGATGATTTTTTTTAGAGAAACTAGTTGAAAAATAAAACATGTGAAATAAAGAAACAGGTTGGTGAAAATCCATCACAAGTAACGACAGAGTGTGGAGCATTTCAGGGTGTTTGAAAGGCCTTTCCCAGGAGCGCGCGGATTCCGTCCCGGCATTCCGCGCCGGCGGGCGGCGGATACCTACTTGAAGCGGACCTTCTCGTCCATGTCCACGGGCGGCTCGTGGGTGATGAGCGTGACCAGCTCCTCCATGCAGTGCTGCTGGCACAGGAAGTCCAGCAGCTTGCGGTTCTGCGCCTTGCACTCCTGCAGGATGTCATCTTCGTCCATGAGCTCGTGCAGCGTCACATCCTCCTTGTCCAGCAGCTTGTCCACGTGCGACGTCGTGTTCAAATCAAACTTCCAGAACATGGTGATGGGACACACCTGGCTGCAATGCACAAGGCTGCCGATTAGTTCCTGCTCTTCCCAAGGCAGTTCTCAGCGATGCCTCCTCCTTTGCATCGCACAACAGCAGCTATTCCGAGCAGAATAAATGATCACACAACTGCCAGTCCGCATGGAGAAATCAGTTAAACTCCTGCAACAGAAACTCAACATCAGAAACATGACACAGCTGCCCTGCACCCCCGAGGCAGAGGATATATGCATGAATTAACTCCAACTGCAGGCAGCTTGAGCAGAAGTCTCCAGAACTGAAACCAAAAAGCACATTCATACACACAAACACTGTGTTGGATTAGGGTCACAAACAGGGAGATATACATATACGTATTTCTATATATATATATAAAAGTAAATGGCAACCACAGCACCTGCCCCTGGCGCTGGGTTTCGGCGGGATCCTTCTCTCCACAATGTCCATCCCTGGCGCAGCCCCCGGGCCGCAGGGAGACCAAAACCGGAATTCTGGTCTTACCCGGGGGAAAAAACCTGCTCACAGACTAGCGGCTTAGAGCACCTCAAGAATGGCAGCAGAAAGTTGGCCTCTGCAAAAACGCACACATTTCACCCTTGATCATCCTAAAAGGGATAATATTCAACAATCTCCACACATCCCCTTGAAAATTACAGCGGATTTGCACATTCATTAGGTCCTGCCATTGGGACTGAGCGGTGTTTCCCAGGAACAGAAGTGGCAGAAGATACTACAAACCCAAGAGAAAGAGCAACTGAAATAACGCTCTCCTTTTCTCACACCTTTTGGATCTCAAGTCCTCATAAGCATCTGCTGAAAGAAGGATGTCCCACAATGAAACAACTAAATATAAATTATTTTGATGCAGTTTTTTGCAAAAGTGACAAAAGCGATACACTGCATATATTAAAAAAAAATAGGAGAGAGACTAATTAAGACTCCTGTGAGCTGGATTTAGAGCCAAGACCTGTGGCCAGGGGTCCACAGCGCCCCAGCTCTCCTCTGGTCCCCTCGAAGCCTGCTTGGAAGCTCCCGCAGGACAGTCTCGTCCACACGGACACGCGCGGCTTCGGCATTTACAGCCGTCATTAACTCTGCCAAAAGGGGACAATGTCCTGACCGATCCTCACCAAACTCTTCCTGTGGTTTTCACCCCGTGTCATATTTCCTCCTAAATTCCTTCTTTTAACGTCTCACCATCCAATCCACCAGTTCGGGCCTTCCAGTCTTAACAATCACACCAGGTATCCCAGTGACGGCCCCAGAGAACCAGGATTTACTAACCCCGGCCCCCGCGGCCGCAGCGCTCGCTGCAACGCCCGGGTGCGCGCAGGGAACGCGCCCGTTACCCCCGCGGTTTGGGAAAGCTCGAGGACGCAGAGGAACTACTACCTGAAATGCATTAAATCAAACACACTATTTTTTTCCAGATAATTACTGATATGCATTCCCCACCCCAGCTTAGTCTCCCCATTTAAGGATCCTTGATATGAGCGTGCCTGTCGAAGGATTTAAAAGAAAAACATCTTCTTTATCATATTAAGCCTACATTTTTTTCCTCAGAGTAGGCCTGTTACCCCCAATATTTGATAGCAAACTCTCCTGAGTGATACTTAGAGTCACAAGATCTGCAACAGCAAAGCCTTCTGCATCAGAGAGCTTTGCTTTACCTCCAAATCCACTTTTCTCAATCTCGCCTTTCACCCCGCACGTAGGAAGAAGGAAATAACCTCTGTGCAGACACGTGTGTCGGTGAGTCAGCATCGCCGATACGGCAACGCCCCGCTCGAACGCGCCGGCCTTGCGAGACCAGACCATAACCACGGTATTTGCCCTGCGAGCTATCAAAGCGTTTCATTAGAAAGGGAGGGAGGGAGTGCAGAGAACGGTGATGGTCTCTTTTCAGTGGTGGCCACTGATAGGACTAGAGGAAATGGCCAGAAACTGAAACATCAAAAATTCCATAGGAACTTAAGGAAAAATTCCTTCCCAGTGAGGGTGCCAGAGCCCTGGAACAGGCTGCCCAGAGAGGTTGTGGAGTCTCCTTCTCTGGAGATCTTCAACCCCGCTTGGACGCAGTCCTGTGCCACGTGCTCTAGGTGACCCTGCGTGTGCAGGGGTTGGACTGGATGATCCCTAGAGGTCCCTTCCAACCCTAAGCATTCTATGATTCTATGATTCTATGATTAAGTACAGGTAGGTCTTATAAACCCCATTCCAACTACCCTTCTCTCCCCTCTGTTCTCCCGCCCGGCTTTGCTTTCAGCCAGGACCCCCAGCACTGGCACAGAGACCATACACACCGTACAGGAAATGTATATGGCCCTGACACCAGCGTAACAGCCCGCGCTCCTCATCCCGCAGCACGGCCAGGAGTCCTTCCACACTGCCTGCGTTCCCCGCGCGCCCCGGAGAGCGACGCTCCCGTCGCACCGAGTCTATCGGCCTCCAGCAGGTCAGGGAGGGGATCCTGCCCCTCTACTCAGCCC